GCCCGCGGTTGAATCGACGTTTTTGTTCACGGCATCAGGGTCCTTTGTAGTCAGCCAGAGAATCCCCGATTCCCGGTGGAGAAGGGAATTGTAGTAAGCAGCCGGTGATCTTGGAGAGAAGATTCTGAATAGCGTCGTCGTAGAGTGAGGGTCGCTTGTTCGCGTTGGGTTCACGTCAAGGAAAGTTAGCGTCGCGGTCGATGAAGAAACCGTCACTGATCGGAGTTGAAACCCTGATTACTGGCAAAGCTGAGATTGAAATTGCAGCAGCTGCCGAAAGCGATCCGCATCCCACACGCACGCGAGGGATTCGCGCGTCCTTCCTCTCCTTCTCTTCATGCCCGCCGTCCTACAAAATTTGAACACGGTCACTGGGGTGAATAGTGCCCGGACCCTGCTTGAACGAGGGAGCATGAAAAGAAAGTAAGCATTTCTCTCCCCATGTTCTAGGTGCCGGAGTGTGGCTCATTCATTTGGCAGGACGGTCCATTCGATAAAGCAGTGTACCACAGTGGAGATATTTCGCGACGGGCCTTTATTCCGAGTGTGACCCCCCTTCGAAATCAAAAAAGGCATTCCTCTTCCGGCCAAGTTCAACGCGCGCGCGCGTCTTTTTTCCGTCCAGTCGAGGAGAAAGGACGTGATGCCTCGTTTGCTGCACTTTGGCGGAAACCGGAAAAGGGTTTGTACTATTCCTGATGCCTTACTCACAATCCCACCCAACGTAAGCTCCTACGCACAAGTCCCTAATCGCGCCATCTCGCTGACCCTTCATTAGGTCCACGCTCCCTCGTCCCCCACGTAACGGGCTGCCCTTTCATCAACGTGGTACCCGACCCTCTATCACTTGGTGAACGAAGCGCGCGGACGTGCTCTATAAACAAATATATCTTAGATCGTCGGCAGTACGACAAATTGTACTCATAACAGTCTCGTCATACTCAGCGTACGAGAGCCCGACACTGATCGATGAAGAATATGTTCGCGTTGGTATTCCACGACTCTGGAAGGTACCTAGCTCCATCAGCATCGAGATGACTTCGCATTCATTCTTTCGGTCAAGTAGACTTTCCATGAACAAACCCAGGGACGACGGGACCGATATTAGTCCAGAATCTCTGTCCGGGTCGCTCCTGCTAGAAGAAGAGGTGGCGCACTTCGATATCGATGTACCGGTATATGCCTCGAGTAGATAGGGCTCGCGTGTGTCGGCGCAAAAAGTCGGTTTTCTTGATCCTCAGAGAGTCCCTTGGGTACAGTAGGTGGTCGAGGATTTCGAAATGGTCATGAGAAAGAAGCGAAAGTCGCGCGAAGAGGCTGAGGTTCTTCATAATCCAGATTCCTGGTGGTCAATTGTCAGAGGTTTTTGCAAGGAAAAGGTGGAGCGGGGAAGCAAAAGGTGGAAAGGATGTGTACCAGGAGGTGTAGAGAAGGCTGATGATAACGAGTATTCTTCAGGGTGATCCACATAGTGCACACTGAGAATCCAAGCACAAATATATCGATAAAATCCTTCTTCACTGCTAGGTCAGGGTCCGAAAAGAAGGACCGGAATGTTCGGCCCGAATATTTTCGAACGCAGGCACGTGTGGCGCGGAGGTTAAACAGCTACCATCAATTTTGGGATTTCACATTCGACATATGCTGGGGCGAAACGACTCCGAGAAAGCATGTCCTCGACTATGAATCCTAGTGACGCGCCTCCGAATGGAGGAGAACCGATGATATGGGAAGAGACAAAGCCAACTACAGGTGCGTTCTCACTACTGCGTTCGTAGTCCTCCCTGAGCTCGTTTCAAGTGTCGGGTGCCCAGGATGGAGCGCAATCCCACTCTGAGCTACGCTCACCTCTAAGCGACGCGTCGGACCATCCAAGGTACGTACCCCCTCTGCCCCACCAAGTACTGAACAGCCACTCCACTATCCCCAGCTCCCCAATGCACAAAGTCTCCCTCCTCCTCGTGATGGGACCCAAGCCCGAAAAAGGACCAGCACAACTCGTGGCACACCCACGAGAACCGCCTGGGCGTCGAGTGGGAGGACATGCGCTGCTCGCCCGAGCTCTCCGCGGACCTGCTGAATGACGAGAACTGCGATGGGTTCATCTATCCTCTCCGGCTTGCCCCTGGGGAGCCGCCGGTTTTGGCAACGGGGCAGAAGTGGGGGCAGTGGTACGCGCATTATATGGTGAGTGCGTGTTTGGTTTTGATTAGGGTCTTGGGGGTTGATTGGGTTTTGCAGACGCTATTGCTTACTCGCTTCCCGGATACGCCTTTCATCTCTGTTACGAGGTGTAGTATCGACTCTTTCGTCGATAAAGTCTGCTCCCCAGTCCTGAGCTGGAGAAGCTAGACCAGTACACTTGCATCCTAGCCCGTCTAACCGACCCGTCGAGCGACGACCTGTAAGCAAGCCCCGAATTCTCACCATGACGCACCCTCACTAACACACCAACCCCGCAGAGCCTCGCTCCCCGCCCTCGCCTCCCCCACCCGCCTAGCGACATTCCTCTCAGGGATGCACGCGCTCTGCAAACGAACCGCCGTGTTCCCCGATATCGACGAGATGTCCCACGCCGCGCACAAACTGCGCGTCATCGCATGCCTCGACGCCATCGCGCACTCCGTCACGCGCACGCCGCGCCCCAAGACCTCCATCGCGGGCGTCAAGGTCCCCGGGCAGATCTACAAGCGCGAGGGGTCGCACTGCGAGCGCCACGTGCTGCTGCCGAAGCAGATCCAGTCGTCGAACTACCGGTCCGTGATGCGGGAGGGCCAGCACCCTGCGTACCGCTGGCTCCAGCAGGACTTCGTACCGTATAATATCGAGTGGCGCGTGTTCCTCGTTGGCGGGGAGGTGGTGAAGGTGAGGGTGTCGAAGAGGAAGGAGCTGGATAATAGTTGGGTTGCTGAGACGCAGTATAGCCGCTGTCCGCTTTTTGAGCTCGAGTTGCGTTTTTTTCTTCTTTTTCGTTTGGGTTGATTAATTGATTGACTGTGTTGAAGGGAGCGGCTGAGGGCGCAACCGGACGACGAGGACGAGTTTCCCGATTTGACTGCTCACGACGAAGAGTCCCGGATCCGGTCCGACGAAGAGCTTATCGGGTTCGCAGAGCGCACTCTTGCGGCGCTCGTCCAACGAGAGACGGAGATCCTAGGCCACGTCCCGTCGATTGCGATGCTCTGCCGTCTTGATATCTCCGTGATGCGACAATCACGCTCCGGGCAGCTGCAATACTGGGTTGTCAGTGTCGCCAGGGGCGCTAACGTCCCGATCCACGGTATCGATGATAGCTTTGATACTCTTGGTGTCATCGCTGACGAGCTGGTCGATGCACTGAGGAAGAAACCCGGAGCTTGTAAGGTTCCGTGGTTGGATTTCGTCGAGATTCCACTGACTCTTCTCTTCTTTTTTCCTAGCGGACGCCTCGTTTCCTTATTGCCCAGGGCGAGAAATCGCTCCGCCGGTGGTGCGGGAGATACCAGTGGACCGGACAGTCAAGTACATCCTCGTCGTCCCCGGTCCCTCCGAACCCGTTCTCTCCCGCTCGCAAAGGTCTGGGGCACCACGCATACTATCGTCAATTCCAACTCGCTCTGGGTCAAAGTCGATTTGCCGCGTACGGATGTGCAGCTTTTGGTGACGTACAAGGCGATCAAGGGGTTCATCCATGAGATTCCGCTGAGGGACCTCAAAGATGGTGTTAAGCCCCGGAGAGGCTATTCGGGGGTGTGGATACATCAGTTGGTAGGTGGTATGATCGATTGCAGTTTTTGGATGGAGGCCTGATACATGGTTGCAGGTCCTTTTGGGGTACTACTGGTCTCGGAGGAGCTATACGGACGTGACGTTCATGTCATGGAGTGATTTCAGTAGATAAAGTCATAGCGGGGGCTATCAAAGCGGACATCATCTGGGGTGGTGTAGACCTAACTGGTGCTCTGTACGGCTTATCATCTCCCCTCCCCTCTTCTCCTCGCTCGTACTCATTACCTACATCTAGGGATACGGTCCCAGGGATCAAAGACCCCGCCGTGCGTTCACGCTTCCTCGACTCCCTCGGCACGCTCCCCGCCCACTTCGGAACCGTCTCGGAGCTTCTCCGCGCCAGCCGCAAGTTCGACGTCATCCAGGACCTCGACGAAATCGCCGCGTCCACCACGCGCACGCCCCGCCCCGAAACCCACCTCTTCGATGAAGACCAGGACGAGGACTTGGATATGCGGAGCTGGATATTCAAGCGGGAGGCGAGCCATAATTTCGCGCACGTCCAAGCGTGTGTGGTGCCGAAGCACGACGGGTACCGGTGGTTGAAGCAGCGCTACGTGCGCGCGCTGGACCGCCATGTCGAGTGGCACGTGTTCATGCTCAAGGGCAAGGTGAAGAGTGTGTTTTATGTGATGCCGATGGACACGGTTGGGTTCAGGGAGGTACATGGGGTCTCGCGCGACGAGTATTCGTACCGCTCTGTGTGGCTCCGGACGAAGGGCTGGGATTTGGCAACGATGAAGTCAGTAACGTCTATACCTGTTTTTCGTGGTTTCGCTGATACTTCCTGTCTTTTTGCAGCTCTTTTGCGCATAGAGGTAAGAGGCACCAGCTCGTGCACCGCTCAGGCGGGACGCGCGTCTCGCTAGCGCACGCCGATGCTGAGATGACGGAGTTTGCAGGAGGGGACCCTTCGCTGAGCTCGTTCGTCTTGGAGAGGGCGCGGGGGCTTGCGGGGGAGGGGGAGGGGAAGCTCTCGATAGAGAAGTTTTGCCGTATGGATTTGGGGATCATGCAGGATGGAGGCGGGGAGCTGAGGTATTTCGTGCATGCGGTTCGGAGGGGCGCGTTCATTGAGATGTTCCCCTCCGAGGTGGAGGATGGGGCGTTTAGGTATTTGAGTAATGAGATTTTGAAGGTGTTGAGGGAGTAAGTAAATAAGTAGGGGGTGTGCTGTTTTTTGACTGGGTGTTAAAGATGGTGTAGGGTGTGTTGATCGGAGGGACTTGGTGGGCCGTGTAGCGTAATGGTTAACGCGCTAGTTTCCGGTGTTGGAAGAGCTAGAGATTCCGAGTTCGAGTCTCGGCATGGTCGTCCCCAAGCTAGCTATGACAGATTTTTGACCCCAAGGATGGCTTAACGCAAGTGTATATACTATCTGTTGTTGGATTGTGCACCCTGGCAGAATTTTTTCTCAAGATCGAAAGATTTTTCTAATATGGCATTCAACAATCCCAATTTTGTGCTCAGATCACATCTTCGTTTGAAGTCACAAAGTAGAAGGCAGGACCCACGCTACGAATTCAATCACGACGGTGACTTCCATTTCGGGAAGTTCGCTAGCCCCTTTCCCTTTCTACCCTCAACTGCCGATTTCCGTTCCGTAACCTTGAGCCATCGCCGGTTCACTGCATAATCATATATTACACGGTGAGCTTGATAATCCTGCGATGATCAAAATACTACCCCAGATTCTTTGTCTCTCATTAAATGTTTGTATACAAGAAAATATGGTACGAATTCCCGATGATCCTGTGCTTGCGTTTCAAATATATAGTACCCCGCTGGCACGGTGCATCGAATGGTGCCAGAAGAACTGCGCAAACCCGTGTCGTTCCTATACCGTGAAGAAAGAGGAGCCAGCTTCTGAAAACGATAACATCCCTCGTTCCCCCCATCTGACGCGAAAGACCACGGCTGGCGACATCCCCGGCCTGCGGAACTCGAATACCTGGACGCCGCGATGCATCCCCATCCGTCCCTACAATGTCTTGCGCATTAGAAGAACACAGGAACTTGGAGCCAAGAGTTCGACGTATCCGCACCCGCACCCGCACCCACACCCGCTATCTTCCCACGTGCCCTCGAATAGCATGGATGTTGGTCTAGTGCCGCACGAAATACCCTTCTCCGCGGGACCAGTACCATATGCTACACATTCCGATCAGACATATAATCCGACAACTACCGAGTTCCTCGAAAGCCTCCGCAGGATCGGCGGATTTCCCTACTCGAGGCAGAGGTAAGAAAAGATATCATATCTCCACCGCACCCTCCTCCTCCTCCGCCGACGGTATTCGTAACCTGCTAAGAATTTCCCGAATATACTTGATCCGCAGCAGTGTACGGAAAGTTTTTGGAATCGTCTCCTAGATCTGAGCTGTTTGGATGTATCTAGAGAGCCCTGTGGTTATGTCGCGTTCAGGCACAGACTCGGAGGAGACTACGGATAAAGCATGTTTAACAGGAACGATAGAGTCCTTTGCAGAAACTGCAGAGGACGGGATGTTAATCCTTCCCGATTATGTTTTTTACATCGGCGTTTAACTTCGTGTCTCTTCAAATTGGGATGTGGACCGCCATTTCTCTCGCGGAGGATCAGTCATGTATTGTGAACTAGCGTTACTTTCACGGCATTTCCTTACTGCAAGTCCAATCTACAACCGTCCCATCATTGAAAAGAGCTCTTTCATAGGGCCCTCAAGATTCGCAAGCGCCGTTTCCGCTTTCTCAGCCACTCTTTTCATCGTCGAAAAGCTTTCCTCTATTCTTCGACAGTCGTCCCTGGCAGCTGCTTCTGATTCCTTCATTTTCCCAAGCTCTCGCTGGATCTCCTCGTTTTCATCCCTCAAATCAGAGCATTTTCTCTTCATCGATGCGACTTCTGCAGCGAGCCTTGTGCATTGTGCCTCCATCTCATCCGTAAGTAAGTGATAGCCTGCCTTGATTTTATCGAGTGATTCGTCGAGCGCTGCGACAGAGGAACGGTGTTAGATCACGGTGCGGGAGATTGTCCTGTTTCGAAAGAGACAACGTTGGTATCCTCGGTTGATCGTTCGAACCACGGGGGACCTCTGTGCCACGCACTCTCTGGGGGCTGCGCGTCTCTGCTTCTTCAACTTCAGTTTCTTCCCTCGGGCGTTTCTGCTTCCTGACAGGCGTTTCTGGCGTCAGCGGCACGCGCTTGAGTGGAGAGTCATCCTAACAATCCATCCACGCATCGCAATCTGTACCAGATCGAGAAGCAATGCAATACTTGCAGCCAAGTCCCTTGTATTTCCTACGTCCTTTTGGAGAGCCGACTGGTACGCCAATTGCTTTTGCCTCACAGAGCAGTCCGGCCATCTGGCATTTGAAGCACTGGGAATACTTAGCAGTACGCATCAATAGAAATGGAGGTAGCTTACTGCTTTATCAAATGCAGGTGCCTTCAGAGACCAGTCGCTTATGCTCACAGGCCCATCCCGGCGTGCTGTTCTCACTCGTTTTTCCAACGATTGCAGCCATGGATACGCGAGATATAACAACCGATGAAATTCACCATAGTTCATGGCCCTAGCGGCATAGATCACTTCGTCAGTCTCCTTTAGGAGTGTTTCTTTGAGCGGATTCAGGACTTCGTCAGAGTAGTCGTCCCAGGTTTCCTCGCCATCCCATGGTCGATATCCGAGTCTTTTCTTGTTTACGTTCCAAATTTTCTTTGATCATGTGAAGTGGTGACTCAGGTGTGATGCTATGCGGTCAGGATCAGAGACTCACAGTGCATTCGTCCTTGTACAGAAATACTTCTGCCTTCTTCTTCGGCGTAATAGACAGCGAAAGTCCCTGGGCCGCCTCGAGTTTTACATTGATATCAGTAATGGTCGGGCTGAAGGGAAGCTGTGGATGAAATGAGCGACAACGAAGACTAAAGTGACGACTGAACTCACTTCATCGATGTCGTCGCTTTCAGAGAGTACTAGAATTCAATCTAGGCATTGTGAAGCTATCCTCTCTATAAGTGCTTTGGATAACCGTTTGTCCGCTCTCCCTCTTTTCATAATGGAGTGAGGAGTTGTAGGTAAAAAGCGGGACAGTGAGAGAATATTAATAAAGAACCTAGAAAACAATCCATGTGTCATGAGGGACCCGATCACTATGCACTAAATATGGATTCTGGAACATTGGAGTGAGCACAGTGTCCCACGCATCCGAGCATTAAGCTAAGTTCGATACCTGATTCGGTATACACTGTACGGTAAGAAACTTAGATGTGAAAAAAGGGATCTTCGAAGAAGCGAGGAAACATTGCTTCATAGTTCTCGGATGATGATCTCCGAAGCTTTGAAGGTAAGGAAACAATAATGGCAGTCGAGTGTATTGACGGGTTGACTGAGTAACATACAACCGGAGAAGTGGGGAAGCAAACATGTTAGTTCTCGAAAAGAGAGGAAATCTTCGATACGAACGTCCTCCGTCTCTAAGTGTCGACTGCCAGATTTGAAGGACTCCAAGTTCAGAATGGCAAGCAATTCGTTGCATCAATCACCATTAATCTGATCCACAAGAGTACGGTGGGATGGGATAATCGGGAGAACATAAATATTTATCAATATAGTCGCATTTGTTGTCATAGACGCGGTTTGAGGATCAGGGTTACGCGACTACATGTGGAGGGAAGTGTCGTCCATGTGCCAGTGATTCAAGAAGTTATGATCGGATTTATCCATTTGGTAATGGTCGCTGCGTTTATCTCAACAACCCACCATTTATCGTTCGGCCAAGCTTTTTTTTGCTCATCTGGCAAGGCTCAGATCTCAAGGTGGTCTTATCCTCAAATTCCCGACATTTCGATCAGAATCGGAATTTAGAGACATCCATGCAATAGTTCGACCCTGATTTTGAATTATATGAGGCGGCGAATGATCGCAGAGTAGAAGTATATGTTGCTCCTGATTGAGGGAAGAAGATTGATCTTGACAATTGCAGTTGCATTGCATCGCGAATATAATTAAAAGTACGTACACCCGAAATCATTACATTCGTAGAACGTACATCGCCCGACAATTCCTTTCTCCCTACATGAGATCCCAGCCGTGCGTGGCGTCCTTCCCCCTTTTGACCGCCTAATTCCGAGCTTAGAGTAAATGATTTTCTCAAGAATTTTCATGTGACGAGCGGGATCTGGGACCCAAAACGGCACCCTTTTGCAGGTGATGAAGAAAACATTGTACATTGGCAGCGCTTGCACTTGGAGCTTTCGATCAGAGCATGAAACATCCAGAAAGGTTTCTCTTGTTCAACTGCTTGGAAGTTCGGATCTTGGGTATAAAATCCCATGGAGACTGGTATCTGGATTGATCGATCATTCACCGCCCTGAAATGAATGTTTATGACCGGGGTACATATGCTCCGCATGGGCAGAATCTCAGGGCGGTGATTTTCACAGCCATAGAAGATGTTAAGGTAAATCCGATATCAAGCATCAAGCATTCTATAACTTGGGAACTACACAAACCTATGTATCTTAACGATACTCAGCCCCACAGTCTCCGATGGTACTAATCATGCGACGACCGTTTGAGTGCTCCAAGACACTCTCGATGTCCACACGATCCTCTTCAGTCAAGGCGAACTCGAAGACGCGGCTGTTGTCCTCCGGATGTTCCGAAATGCCCAAGCGCGCGCCTGATATTTTTATATCTGAGGTCAAATACTTAATTAAATGATAATCGGAGAACATTACTGACCGATGATCACCGCGCCAACGAAGTGATGATCCAATACCCACCGAGTGGCAACATTGGCGATGCTGACTCCTTCATGCCGATCGCCGATAACGCGAAGAGCCGAAAGAAGGGACTGGAAAAGAGTCCAGTCGCCCCAGGCCTTCACAATCATGTCGAGGTACTGTATGTTAAGGTCCGTGATCAGTCCATGCGTAGAAATACCAAAGAGAGAAGTACCTTTCTTTGAGAAGGGGTAAGATCGCCAGTATAGGAATCCGGCTCCGGTTGATTAAGCCATTTGTCCGCGAGAAAACCCCCACACTAAAAGGAACAGCAATTTTATCATGACAGCGAACGAATATTATGAGGATGCTCACGACAGTGCCATAGGTCAAGAGCTTTAGGCCGTGTTTGTTACAGACATCAGACATGCCATGAAGCGGGCGAGTATCAATCAATGAAAACTGGAAAGAGTGATGCAAATTATTGGTAGCCAGTATCTGTTGGTAAGGAGGTCATTACCTGCACTTGATTAGATACAATGACACCTCGGCCCAGTTGAGTACAAATCTCATCGGTATGAACGGCGTCAAAATTGCAAAGCCC